ACCGCCCATCCTGCTTTAGCTTGCTCTTTGATCTTGTCTTCTTCCTCTCCCTGTCCGCCAAATGCGGCTTGCACGCGCTCTTCCCACGGAGCAAGGACGAACGGTTGGATAATCTCCATGGTATCTCTTGGTAGCTCTCTGCATGCATCTGCAATACGTCTCAGCGGAGATATAAATCGCCGGAAAGCTTTGATCCCTCGTAAGAGATTTCGGACCGGATTTGTCCGTGGCAGCGTGTGCATATCTACCCATAGTTTGCTTGCTCTTCTCCAGAACCGTTCGTGAATGGTCGCGATGTGCGCTTCCGCCTCAGCTACTCCTGTTGACACGCTTGTGAAAGATCCTATGATCGCCTGTGCTCCTATTATCTGCACTCGCTGGACGGCGTACGATGCTACTGTTTTGCACGTATGCATCCATACGTTAGAGGCGTAGTCCACCACCGGCGCTACCATGACTGTAAAAAGCTGCCTTGTTGTCGAGGGAGCCATTCCCTTCAGTCGTTTTAGTTCCATCGCAGCTTCAAGGCCCTTCGTCGCTGCCCTTGCAATGTGTTGCTTGTAGTGAAGCCGTGAGTCCATGACGACCCCGAGAATTTTGACTTGATCCTTCGGGACGACTTTCTCGTTCTTGATGGTGAAAGATTCCGAGTCTACTCTACCTGTGTATCTGGTGAAGTGTATAATGGCTGTCTTTTCCGCTTCAAACGTTGCACCACTACGCTTCTCCCAGGCCAGAGCCTTGTCAATAACCGCTTGTATCCCTCTCCTGTTGCTCTGGGCCGTCGGTCCAGTCACCCACGCCGTGTAATCGTCCACGAACGCAATTGCTCCGCCATTTTTATCGATCTGGGTTTGCACAAGATCTGCATTGAAGAACAGAAACAGCATCGGCAACAAAGGCGATCCCTGTGGGAGTCCTGCTTGCGGTAGAGATCTGCTTTCCGAACTCTGACCATTAATCATGATGGTTGCAGTCCGCTCTGAGCAAAACGCATCGACCCATCGCAGGAGACCCTCTTGGATCCCTCTTGCCTTCATGCGCTGCAACAATCTCTCTTTGCACACGCCGTTATATGCTCCTTTCACGTCGAAGCTGATGAGACTCACAACGTGACGCGAGCGCCATGCTGAGAAGATGTGTTCTTGYAGTAGTACGAGGGCTTGTTCTGCCGATCGCTGCTTGCGCGCGCCAAAGTGATTGGTCGGGAGGAGCCCGTGRGCCTCTACCGCGTAGGAGATTCTCTCGGCCACCACCGACTCCAACACCTTGCCCAACGTAGCTAGAAGCGAGATCGGCCTCCAGGCTTTCGCAATCRTGTAGTCGTCTTTTCCTGGCTCCTTGAGCGGAATGATTCGAGCGTGTCTCCATTGTTTCGGTATCACGCCTTCCTCTAATGATGCTTGACGTCGTGTTTCACCGATGGCCAGACCTGTTTCCAGACCATCGCCGGTAGTCCGTCTTCTCCTGGAGCCTTCCATGACTTTGTCTCCCACAGTCGGCGCTCCACTTCCTCCAACGTGAGTTTCGGCATCATGACGGGAGCTCTCTGTTGCCTCAATCCTTCGTCTTCAATGTTGTCTGGCAGTGGCGGGAAGAACTTGGCTAGAAGCTCTTCGGCTTGCTCCCGATGGTTTGTCGTGTTCGTTCCGTCCGCTCTAGTGAGCTGAGGCACTTTCCCAAAAGGTGCATCGTCCCCAGACTTCATGTACTTAGCCGCCTTCCAGATGTTGTCGTTGTCCGCTAGGAACTCCTTCCAATGGTTCATCTTGCGTTGTCGGATGGCGTCGTGATACTGCTTCGCCGCGGCGGTCGCTGTACCCTCGAGGTTCGAGAGGTTCTGGCTGGCACGTCTCGCAGCTCGCGCTCTGTTCCTCCAATATGTATAGACGTGTCGCAGCTGTGTAAGATCATCGGTCCACCATCTTTTTGCGTATGGAGACGGTTTGGCTCTGGGTGTCAGGGCCTGGACGGCTTCTAAGACCGCCATCATCAGTCTATCCGTCTTCTGCTGCACCGTGTTTCCCCTCGGCCTATCTCTTAGTATGTTCGCTATCCTGTTGTTGATCTCCTTCCATGGTGCATTCTTGAACAAGAGCCTTTCTTCCTGTTTCGGCGTCGGAACTGAGATGTCGAACACCGTCTCTATCGTGCGATGATCTGATCCGTGCTCCGTACCATGTATCCCACATTTGTTATTCGCATTCGCAAGCTCCTCGGAAGCAAGGATCAAGTCAATCGTTGTTTCATAGTCTCCGCTTTGCCATGTTTTTGTGCCCCGTCGGAGAAGGCTTCGAAGCATGAAGTCATTCATTAGATCGATGATCGGATCTGCCTCGCCTTGTCTCGCCGCCGCTACATCGTCTCCTCCCCACATCTGGTCGTGTCGGTTGAAATCGCCAGCAATCACCACGTCCACCACTCTCCCTGACCTTCGCCCCACTTCCGTGATGGCTCTACCAAGCTTACTGCATATGTCCTGTAGAGCTTCGGCATCTCCCCCCGGTACGTAGACAGACGCCGTGAATACCAGACGCCCCGGCACCTGAACAACCGCTGCCGTCACGTCAGGGGACTCTACTGGCACCTGTTCCGCTTCCACCTCTTTGTTCAACCACAGCATACTCCGGATCACTCATTTACCTTCTCTCTCAGCTGTCGGCACCATCTTGACCCATCCATGATGCCCCATCGGAACCGTCAATAGTTTTCCTTGGATCCGTCGTGCCTGGGGTTCTTGAATGGCCAACACGGTTGCAGCCTGAATATCCTTGTCGTTCATCAGGCTCTCGTGTACTGATCCCTGCTTTCTTACATTCAGTTGAAACAATCGGAATGCGTTATTCATGTTGTGACAGATAGAGTTTCTGACAGTTTCTGCTATATGACTCATGCGGGCCACCGCATGGGACGCATCTCGGGATCGCTTCCGTGCACCTGCTATGGTGGTGACCTTCTCGCGCACATCTTCCGCAGATCTGCGGTCGGTCGTACTGGTAAGCCTTGTGGCTCGTGATCTGTTGGCAGTTATAGCATTGATTTGGGCGTTCACGACGTTCAAACACTCTCGTGGTGCCGGACTCTCCTCCAGCCACGAAGAAGCCTTCGCCGATGAATCGTCTAGCTTCGGACCGCTTCTTGAGGTACACGACCATCGAACCGTACGCCTTGGGAACGTCTCGCCTGCTGAGCCATGCTACCTTTGCTATCTCGGTGTCGTTCTCTCGGCCAAGAGTCTC